GCACCCCAGAATGGCTTGACATGGGTAGGTCGGGCACCCCCAGAATTGTCCGGCAGTATGTATGATATATGATTGTATGGTATGTGGTATGATGGGATAACTCACTAAGCTTGTTGCTTATAGTTTTCAATTTTGGTTTCAGGTACTTCGTTTTCAAAGGAAAGGAGTCGGCTCGATCGCAGCACATCACACTATGATTTTTCCGCACATGAGATCTTTAGGGTTGCACTCTGATATTGTTTATGATAACATGTTTTGATTAAATACGACTTTGGTTTTAACATGACATGATATGATGGACGTTTCTTATACTGTCGATTTTATAATAACTTATTTAAAAATTGAATTTTTGGCCTTGAATTTTAGAATGTTACAATTTGGTATCAGAGCCTTGGTTTGAGGGATTCGGGCACACTCTCGGGTGTGTCTGAACTCAAACTAGGGACTTGGTATGAAAATTTTCAAAAGAAAATCATTTTATAAAAGAGTTAGAAAAGAATTTGGAAGGAGAAAAAAACTTTGAAAAGAACAAGGTGTATGATGCGTGCAATCAGCTGAGCTCAAGTAAGTTTTCCCCAAGATACCCATACATGTTATCTTATGTTATTCTGTGATATGATATGATTATGAGAACTACATGCTAGATTAGGGTTGAGGACCTAGGAAGGATGCCTTATATGCCTATTGTATGTGCTTGCATACTTGCATGCTAGTACCGATCAGTTAGTAATAGGATAGCATGTTTAGGTTATGTCTGATTGTATGAGTCTTTGAATTGCATGTACAAATCCCTAAGTAGAGGATAGAAAGGTTTGATTGGAATATGATGGTTAGATTTTCCATTGTCAGAATGTTGCTTTCTTTGTTCTTTGTGGGACTCTTAGTAATGTGAGCTAGCTATATTCATGAGGTAGCTAGTTGACATTACTGGGAATCTTTTAGCAGCTGAGGACTGGGTGAGTTAGGGAACCTAGGAAAGCCTAGGATACGTTTCAATGGGTTAGTAGTGAGGTTCAATGAGACTTGGGTGTACCAGTTTGAGGAAGTGACTTGGAGGATTCAGGAGGATTGCAGAGGAAAGTATGGATAGGTGTGGAAGGTAGTATTGGGCCCATACTACTGAAAGCACAAGATCCATACTCGACTCGGTGAGAGTCTTGGAGAATCTGAGAAGCTTCAGGGAGGAGTTTGTGACCCTGTTTGGGGACAGAGGATGTTCCCGTTGTTGCAGCTTACCGATTGCAAGTGAGTTAGTGAGTGTGGCAGGGTGTCAGACCTTAAAAGGTATGAGTTCCATGAGGTTGCATTTGCAAGATCGATTTGGAGAACTTTGATAAGAGGGGTTTGTGCTAGGTGCGTATAGTAAAGGGTCCCGGGAAGAGACCCATGATTTATGATTATCACGTGAAATGCCAGCAGGGTCGGAATCAGTGCACCACGTACGGGAAAGTGCACAAGGGATTATATCGCTCCAAGGGTTTAGGATGCTAAAGGTATGGTAGGGTTGGTCATGTTACCAAATGGTGATAAGGATTCCTGGGTATATTCATATCTTTAGAATGTCAGTTCGGTATGGTGTTAAGCACCCAAGAACAAAACTCATATTCGAGTTCCGGCTCAGGAGCTGAGTCTGAACCAGTCGAGGCATGATCGCAGAAGTTCATCTCATCGAAGATTAATTGTATAGTTTTAGGAATGGACATTAGTGGTCTTTTGTTCAGTTGAGGAAAGGACTTTGGGAGCCCTCGGTAGTCGTCTCGGGGCCTTTCGGGCCCGATTTTCCACGAGGGGGGGGGGAGTTAGGGGTTCATTTGGAACCGAAGGTCTATAGACCCTTAGAATCCTTTCGGAACGAAGATCCTATAGTTGGTACTTGTCATTAAGATCAAGATTTTGTTAGATGTTCGCAGGTATGTCATCTTTTGCCACTTCAAGTGGATATTGGGAATCTGTATCGCTTCATAATTTTGAGTGAGTTTGGACCAGTCAGATATTAGGTTGGTTTCTACTATTGTCTGGGTTATCAAGGATTGTCATATGCCAGTCTGCATGCCAGAAGTCCTTGATGAACCTACAGAGGGATGTATCTCACAGAGTGGATTCCGTGTGTACCGTTCTCATCTCGGATCTTTGTCGGGATCTGTGTTGGAGTATTATTCAGAGAATATTGGGTCAGGAGTAGAGCGATAGTTCTCCAGTGAAGTCAGGGTTTAGTGGTTCTATCATTGTTCGGGTATTGTCATTAGCTGTCTATGGAAGAACTTTGGAGTTCAAGGCACCACCGTTGCTAAGGAAGGATTGGTAGCATGAAGACAGTGGAGTCAGTTGCGAGTGTTAGATGCATGCGTGTTCGGTCAATGGATGTTCAAGAGAATTGCATTTCTCGCATGGGTTGTGTTCAGTTAGAGTTCAGTGGTGCTGCAAGATTGGAAGTGAGAATGAGGATTCATCAGTCAATGTGAGAATTAAGGCCTCCAATGGTCAGCGTGAGAGGTGGATTGAGGTGTCAGACTTGACCAGGTTTCAAGAATACTCTTCACGATTTCATAGCATGGACGATCTTAGGGTGTAACCGGTGATTGATCATTAGTAATGGTAAGCTCAGATTGTCGGCAGTAGACTATTAGGAAGTAAGAAGGATTAGGAATTCTTCAATTCTCATGTACCGTGAAGACTTAGTCCAATCTAAGTGGGGAAGAGACCTTTTGTAATGTTATCCAAATGTGAGTTCTGGTTGCGCAGGGTGCAATCTCTTAGGCACCTTATCAACCAGAAGGTTATTCTGGTCGATCAAGCCAAGATAGGGGTCGTGATGCAGTGGGAGATTCTGAGATCTCCAACTGAGATTAAGAGTTTCCTGGGTCTAGCGGGATATTACTGAACGTGTATATCTGAGATTATGGTTCCTTTGACCCGACTGAACAAGAAGTCGGTGGCCTTTCGTTGGGGGCCTAAGCAGCAGACAACCTTCGAGACTCTTAGACAGCAGGTTTCGGGAACCAGGGTAGAGCTCTAGTTAGAATTCAAGTTTAGTTGTGTGTTAGGTTGAGTGTGTGTTCGACCCAGTATGGAAAGTGTTGTAAGTCTGCGGGTATAGCCGTAGCATTCACTAGTAGCTAGATAGTGTTAGAGTGATGTAAGTCTGCGGGTGTATCCGTAGCATTCACTAGCATCCAGATAGTGTTAGAGTGTTGTAAGCCTGCGGCCGTAGCATTCACCAGCAGTCAGATAATATTAGAGTGTTGTAAGTCTGCGGGTGTAGCCGTAGCATTCACTAGCAGCCAGATAGTGTTAGAGTGTTATAAGTCTACGGTTGTAACCGTAGCATTCACTAGCATCCAAATAGTGTTAGAGTGTTGTAAGTTTGCAGGTGTAGCCGTAGCATTCACTAGCATTCAGATAGTATTATAGTGTTGTAAGTCTGCGGATGTAGTCGTAGCATTCACTAGCAGCTAGATAGTGATAGAGTGTTGTAAGTCTACGAGTGTAGCCGTAGCATTCACTAGGTTGGTAGATAGCATGAGTGTGTTGTTAAGACGCAAAAAGGAACAGTAATACCTACCAGATTGGGTGTAGCAGTAAGGATATGGAAATCCACGGATTGGATTTCGGAATTATCTGGATGGATTAGATCTAGTTGAGCCAGTGATAAGACTGTATGAACGCCACTGCAGTTTTGAGATCGAGGAAGCAATGGATTGCTTAAGGTAGCTTGTTATATAAGGCTACAATTAGTCATGTAGCAATCGCATTTAGCCATGGTATGTTAACGTCAGGATTCAAAAGATGGACCCGATCGGTTGGATTAGGATGTTGTTAGATCCTCAGTGACATGATAGCTAGTGGCAACTAGTTCCAGAGAAGGATTTTGTTCAGAAGTTGTGTGAAACGACAAGGTAGGAGCCCTTTTAGCTTAGCGGCTGGGCTGGAACCCGGTATTTCAGATGACTGATGGATGAATTGAGACCAAGGAGGTCTCGATAGATTTTGGGAAGCAACTATGTAGCAGCATACTGCTTCAGGCAAATTAGTGTTCAAGCAATTTCAACATTTAGGCGGTGTTAGTATGTGTGTTTTAGGTTGCATATACAAACGGAATAGTTGGTTGATTGGGAAGTGACAAGTCACTCACATCGGAATTAGCTGAGACTTGGCCAAGTATAAGTGATATGCAGGGATAACTAGGTCTGTGACCCTGTATTATAGTAGGAACCTCGAGCTATCAGAAGTTGAGTAGCATGTTGAGGGATAAACAGGCTAGACTGAACGATAATGATTCAGTATGAGTGGTCTTTCAGAGAATCAGGACATCTCAAGACGACAGATTTCAGGTGGAGTAGATGTGAACTTGTTGTGAGGAATTTGTTCACCTGTGGATTTTAGGGCCTTACGAAGATTGGACATGGATACCCTGGGAAGGCTAGGGTATACCCAGGATGGTGACCATATTACTCGAGTGGTATGGGGCATAAGAAATGTTAAGGAATGATTTCGGGGACAAAATCTAATTTAAGTGGCGGAGAGTTGTAACACCCCGTTGATTTAATAAATAAATAAATTAATTAATGAATGTATAATAGCCCTAAAAACCATAATTATATAGAAAGCTGTTGATTATGAAGAGTTATTTGGGACAATTTAGAAGTTAGGGGTTTAAACTGTAAGTTCTGAATTGGTTTTGTTAGTCTTTATGAAGGAAGGGCTAAATGGTAACTTCTGGGACTTCATTGGAAGAGATTTTGGGGCTAAGGGGATGTTTGATAAATTACGGATCGAATTTTGGGGTAATTATGGAAGCAAGGGTGAAATTGGTAAATATTGGACCTAAATTGTGATGGATTCTAATGTTGAGGGTTAATTTGGTAAATATCAGATTAATGTTGTAAGAAAATGATATGGGATGGGCCATTTCTGCCATTATGGCATTAAGTTTCCTAGGGCATGGGTATAAAGCAAATAAAAACCCTAACCCTAATAGAAAACCCTCCAACCGTCACCCCTTATACCTCCCACCAGTCGTCGCCTTCCCTTCCATTTTCTAGCATCGCCACCATCGTGTCGAGGTCGCTAGCCGCCGAGCCAAGTGCCACTATCCCCCTTTTTCCGTTATGACAGGAGATGAAGACCGGTGGAGGGTTTTGTGCAGTCGGAAGTGGAGAGGGCCAAGTTGCAGCCACCATGCTACTATGGTTGTTGCAGCTGGAATACGTGCCCACCACCGGACGCCGTGACCTTCCTTGCTGGAGAAATGAGCCGTGGAGGAGCCACTGCCATCGGTTGAAGTTGGATGCCACCACTTCTTCTTCTTCTCTTTTTTCCACTAGCCCCGTCTGCCGTTACACCATCGTTACTGTTATCTCCGGCCAATACCATCATTGTGCGTTTCCGTGAATATAAAGAGTTGTCGGTTCTCGTGGATAGTTCAGTTGAAGGTGTTGTGGTGTCCATGGTTTGTTGTCCCACTGTGAGCCACTACCACATGCCAAGATCGTCGATGGCACCGATGTTGCTACCGTTGTTTTATGCTTCTACCGTCGCCAACCGCCACCAGGAGGGTGGTTGGATCTGTTTGCAAGCAAGAAAGCGTATGGGTGTTCGTTTAGTAGTAGTGTGTGTTATGTGTGTAACTTGTTTGGGTGGAAAACCTATAACAGCCACCAACACCACCGTGAGGTGGTGGCTGTCGCCACTAGCCACCACCGGTCACCACAAGGTGGTTGTGTGTGTGTGTGTGTGTGTGTGTGTTTAGCTTAGTTGTGTGAGTTATTTTGGAGATTAGCATTGTAAAGTATAATTAGAAATGTGAATAATGAAAACAAACCCTAACCACCACCATGAGGTGGTGGCTGTCGCCTCCTGCTGCCACCGGCTGCCGTGTCGGGTGGCGGTGTGCCTTGCCTTGTTGTGTTTGATTCAGTTGGGGTGCTTGAAACCCTCATGGGCCTGGTGAAGCCCTAATGGGCCTAGGAACCCTAATGGTCTTAAGGACTTGCTTTTGGGCTTATTGGGCTATGAATGGGTTGGAAACCCTAATTAGGGTCTAGAAAACCCTAATTTTGGATATATGGACTTTGGATCAATCGGGACCCACACTAAAATCGTTTATTAAATTCTTATATATATATATATATATATATATATATATATATATATATATATATATATATATATATATATATATATATATATATATATATATATATTAAAGGAGGAAACTTTTTAGGAATAGTAAACTTATGTGATTTTTGGCAAGAATGGTTCTCTGTTTATGTGTTTGTGTTCAAATCCGTCTTTAGGTCATTTTATGTCATTACCCATATTTTGTGCGGATACGTGTTGGGAATAGTTTCAGTTTCCCGGCCATTTTGTGTTCAAATCCGTCTTCAGGTGCAATTTTTGTTTTTTAAAACAAATATATATAAAAAAGAACAAACTTTTTACATTCTATAGTGAAAATGAATATGTAAAAAATAGGAATTTTTTTTTAAAAGTCATTCTTAAAATGTAAAGTTATTTTGTTCATATTTCGATTTTGCTGAAAGATCTGTCGCATCTGACCCCTGCAACGCGGGGGTTCCCCACCTAGTTTTTATTAATGATGTCCTAATTTAGGAGATGAATTTTCTTTATTTATAGTTTTATTCAAATCCGTCTTAAGGTGCAATTTTTGTTTTTGAAAACAAATATATATAAAAAAGAACAAACTTTTTACATTCTATAGTGAAAATGAATATGTAAAAAATAGGATTTTTTTTTAAAGTCATTCTTAAAATGTAAAGTTATTTTGTTCATATTTCAATTTTGTTGAAAGATCTGTCGCATCTGACCCCCGCAACGCGGGGGTTCCCCACCTAGTTAAAATATTAATTAATAACCATTTGCAATTAACCTAAGGCCATGTGAGTTTTAATGGATTAAGTCCTTAATGGGGTAAGTTAGAAAAACTTAACCCTAATCGTCATTTTATGAGAAACCCTAATTTCACTTGGATTTATTGTTGGGCCTTTCGTTTGGGCCTTAATGATTGGGTTATTAACGGGCCATCATAGATCAAGCAAATGGACTAGAATAATTAATGGGCTTTTTAGGTAAGGCCAATATGAGGAGTTGGGTCCAATATGGAAAATTGGGCCATTGATGGCCCATAGTTTGGGCCTTTATGATTATGTGGTATTGGGCCATTAGAAAGCAAATGTTGGACTGTACTTTTGGTTGGGCCTTAGAATAAGACCATATAGAGGTATGGGCCCAATTTGGAAAATTAGGCCATATGTTGGGCTTTGAGCCATGGTTAGACTTTTAGGCCTATGGATTGGGCCTTGGTCTTGAATAAAGCCAAAGCATGGGGTAATGTAGTAATGACCCCAAGTATGTACTTATGGTTATGTAGTGAACCCAATTATTAGGTGGATTAGCATGAACATTATCACATCAAAAATAGGTTTACAAGTTTAAAAACAGGTTAGGGTAATGGTCGTAGTCCAATTCCAGCCAAAAAACTCTAAGATATGTCGTCATGAGGTCCAACTCGTCGAGTGCATGAACCAACTCGACAAGTTGGATGAATTTATGCATGCACTCGGTGAGTCCATTGTCCAGAACAACAGAATATCGATTTTTTAAGCATTTTTCAGCAATTTGCATCAAGTATAAATGAAAACAAGCATAGGCTCTGATACCACTGATGGGTTATGAGCATTCTAACACTCATATGGTGTACATGCAACCCTATAAACATTAGATCTATGTTTTCTCTATTATACATGCAAATTCAATATTTTAAGGTTTCATCCTAACTAGCATAATATGAAGCAACTATACTACAAGAAACTAGTTAGATGACATACCTTTTGATGTAGCTTGAAGTCTTGAACTTTAAGAGCTTAGCCCCGATAGTGTGGAAGCCTCAAGTGGAATCACAAATCACCAAAACCACCTTGGAAAAACTTGAGAGAATAGTAAGCACACTAGAAATTGGCCCACTCTTGTTTACACACACACTAGTGTCATTTCATGTGCCAATGACCTCTTTATATAGTATGGTGGATTAGGGTTCCATCCATGTAAACCCTAATACCCATGACCTTTCATTTCCATAGGATCCATAGGTTAAAAACTCCATGGACTATCCATGCAAGCTTAGCCCAACCTAAATGAACTTGGCCCATGCTATATATATAAGAGTCCATATTTAATTAGTTCCTTTTTATCACTAAATTAATTCTAAATAAATTCTTGATCAATACTAATTAAATAATATGATTCCATATTAATATATTAGAACTTATAATATATTAATATAAATTGTAAACATACTATTCTCAAAAGAATATCCATATAAATTGTTTCGGTGAAGTGTAACCCAAATGGACCATGCCAAATCGGGTCAAGTACATACCAATTATAGTTATGGGCTTAGACACTAATCCAACATTCTCCCACTTGGATAAGTCTAAAACTATTATTGCCTATGACTCCAAAACCCAACTAGCAATCGTAGCTCTTAAAGCCGTTGTCGAACTCTAACCTTAGTCAATAACTTGTCCATTAGATAAGGGATCATATATTCCTCCATTCTATATATCATATGGACTGAGACATGGATTATAATAATTCTCTCTATCGGTTTGTTGTTTCCCGATTTCCGATTTATAACAACCGACTAATTGAACAAATCAAATCAGTCCTGGCTTGGCCAAGCACTTCTGGGTGTCATCACTAAATCATCGAGGGGACCACATATATCGCTTTTATCCCTTTAAGGGTAAAAGGAATGGATAAACTTCGACTCATATGCTTGTTCTACTACTTTTTGAATCATACACAAAGACACGTTTAATAACATCGAGTTACCAATGCATTTTCGTACAATTAATGTATAACCAACTCATAGACAACAACTCATATCTCTAGGTTTGAATAATATAAGATATTATCGTCTCATGATCACTCGTGATAAAATCGATGAAGTGAGTCAAATGAGCGTGGCTTTAATCTAATACTCAGAACTTATGAGCACTCATGAGTGTTGTAGCAACTTTTGTTATGTCCAACATCTTATACATCTACAAGCCAACTTCATGATAGTCTTGATTCATATCTACTTCCAACATATGACCGACTATGGATGGTTTGAATAACTTAGTCATTCGGGAAAAATGACCTAGTTGTTATGGAATTCAAAAATGCAAAGAGAAACACAAGAATATTCGAATCCAATATGATCTCAGAACTTATGAATATAAATAAAATACCTTTTATTTATCACCATATTGATTACACATTATTCATTTCATATTGTTTCAAACTATCAACTTTATACTTGAATTAAAACAATAGTTGTCCCATGCTCTAAGCATGTACACTATGGTTTTCTAAACACTAGTCATGTCATACACCAAGTATGCATACTATGTTTTTCCAAACATTAGTTATGCCATACACCAAGTATGCACACTAAGTTTGTCTATGATCTTTACTTTGTGAAATAGATCGATTGAACATAATTCCAATGATTCTCATTTCACAATCCCAAATCCTTACAGCAAATGCAAGAATTTCAAATTCCTACCATTTACCAAAATCTATTAGATTTTAAACATATATGCACTGATCCTCTGTAATGATTATGCACAAAGTCACAAAGACTTGTCAACAGACATTATAGAGTATTCCAATGGAGATCAACTCCATGGAAACGAAGTCTCATATTCAAAGTACATTGCTTTAAACATCATTCTTGCATTAAGTTTCCTAATCTTACACAGGTTTAATGAATAACTTCCATATATGGGAACATTACCATATTTCCATATTCCCATTTTGACTATCACTCCTGAACAAGAGTTGCCTCTTTTCAGAATATGTCAATATGGTCCTTCCAAAATTAAAACTATACTTCCAACTATCCCTGAGCAACCAATCTTTGGTACACCTTAGATTGTCCTCGACAATTGCTTAATCAAATTAGTCATATCCAGTTCTAGTTCTTTTTCCCTCTTAAAGCTCTAGGCATTTGGAAAATTTTAGAACAGATGAATATTATAGCACATGCAATCGATCCTATATCTAAAGCATATGGGACACGACTCATGATGTCTCACATAGAGATATGATACTAGACTAGTCTTTTTCTATAATATTCTATTTCTATTTGCCATGTTCTCATAATTCAGATTAATCATAATCAAATTTTAGAACGCAAATATTGTTCCCATATATAGAATTTCCTTATGTTGAACCATTCCAACATAACACTCATACATATACTTGACTAAATTTGATTAAAATCTCACGATCTAATCTTTTAGAATTGAAATGAAGTATAATTTCCTCTCCCTTAATTATAGCAAAACAACTTTTTCCCAATTGAAACTTTTGTTTTCTATAATTAACATTGCTAACTTGCAACATTTATTATAATTATCATGCTCCTACTAACATGATGATTATTAGCATAACACTTATGCTCCTACTAGCTTTGACATGTACTCAAAAATCAGTTGGACTTCTAGAAATCAATACTTTATTGACTTTCTTACCAAAGTTCAGATTTATGATATGAGATGCTTTGATAAAAAAAAACTTTATCAAACTCATACACCTTTCCTTAGATAGCACACATGTGTGTCTAAACAATTTCAAAACTATGAAAAGGGATGTCATAATCACAGTCTCAATTGTTTAGACCTTTGCCATTCCTTACAAGTCCATGTTAGTGTGCCGGTCAACCACACACGTGTTGGGTTTTGAGCAATCTAACACTTCCTAAGTGTGCATGCAACCCTAATAAACCTTGGATCTATGTTTGTCTAAATACATGCAAAATATTAAATTTTCCAAGGTTTATAACCTATCTAACATGGCATGGGGAACATTTCAACATAAAAGAGTTAGAAGAGATTACATACCTTTTGGTGAGTTTGGTTCTAAGGAGTTT